TTTTATTTGCACACGCTAGGCCCTTGTTCTTGCAATTTTGCACACGCTAGGCCCTTGTTCTTTTCAATTTTGCACACGCCTAGGCCCTTGTCTTTTTATTTTGCACACACTAGGCCCTTGTTCTTTTTATTTTGCACACGCTAGGCCCTTATTCTGCAATTTTGTGTGAGAATAAGCGAACAGGAATGAATGACTAGCAGTGAAAATGAGTACAAGTAGGAAACCCTTAGAATTGTGTACCCCCTATAGGCTAACCCCACTGTAGCCTACACAAGCATAACATATATAATGTTTGACACACCCCCATAGGCAAAGTGGGGGGAGAACAAGGGGTCACAAGACCAGTCAAGCAAAGCAAAGCAAGCTCAGGGGTGGATCACAAAGTCACCACACAGTCCGAGCACAAAGAGCAGGGCCAGAGGCCAGTTTCACATGTAGGAGTACAGACATATATATAAAAACTAGACAAGCAAGAGCAGGTATATATATATGTCACAGTACAAGTGAAGTCAAGAGGAGAGCAAGTGAGGCAAGACAGGCACAAGACCCAGCTGGGTGCAAAAGCGCTGATGGTCACAAGGCGCGAGTGCCTTGGTTGAACACATCAGCAGTGTTGGCCTCAGAGGCCACGTACGCAAGTCGCAACTGACCACGCTGCTGCAGCTCACGAGCAAGGAAGTAGCGGAGAGCAATGTGCTTCGTCTGTGCTCCAAGCGCTGCTCTCGACACAAGGCCAGCATGGCCTTGTTGTCTACGTACAGCACTGGAGGAGAACGAGGCGGCTCTCCAAGGTCAGTCAGCAGGTAGGTGAGCCAGCGAAGCTCCTGTGCAGCCATGGCCCCGGCGTAGATCTCAGCCTCACAACTGGAGCCGAGAAACCGAAGACGAGCGAGTAGACCGCCACGAGACAGAGCCGGAACCAAGGCTGAAGGTGTAACCCTGTGACGACCGCTCCGTAGCCTGGTCGTCAGCCCAAGAAGCGTCCGCGTGGCCGGTAAGGACCACTGGACTCCGCCCTCCAAGCACAAGCCCCATGCCCGACGTACTGCACAGGTAGCGCAATACCCTCTTCGCTGCAGCCATGTGCTCTGGTCTGTGTCTCCCAGGAGCAACATAGCGTGCAAGAATGCTCAGAGGATATGCAAGGTCAGGTCGTGTGCAGGTCATCAGGTACATGAGGCAGCCAACAAGCTCTGCATACGGACCACTCGACTCTACGGACTCATCCGAAGGCAGAGCTGAGAGTGAGTGGCGAGTAGGCAGAGGAGTGGCCTGAGGCGAGGAGTACGTGAAGCCGAAGCGCTGAAGGACCTGCTGCACCATGTGTGACTGAGTCAAGGTAATGGTGCGGCGTGCTCAGTCCCGAGTGATCTGCAAGCCAAGGTAGCTGCGCAGTTCACCCAGGTCTGTGCACGTGTGTCTCTTCAGCAGTTCGGACTTCACGTAGGCGAGTCCAGCAGTGTCGCTGTGGCAAAGACCAAGTCGTCGACGTACACGAGGATGTAGAACGGCGGCAGTGAAGTGTCGGTGCGCAGAAACAGCGACGGGTCAGCAGTAGAAGGAGCAAACCCAAGAGCCGCAAGCGTAGTCCTCAGTGTGTCGTGCCACTCACGCGGTGCCTGGCGGAGACCGTAGACTGGCATCGGAGGCTCCACTGGGTGCCAGGAGGGAAAGTCCCAGTGAAGCCTGGTGGACGGCGCAGCCAGATCTCCTCGTGCAGGCTACCCTGCAGGAACGCAGTGCTGAAGTCGAGAGAGTGAAGCTCGTAGTCGCGCTGAGCGGCTATGTGCAGCAGCACCCGAAGAGTGGTCATCTTCGGGGTGGGAGAGAAGGTCTGAAAGTAGTCAACTCCCTGCCGCTGACTGAAGCCACGAGCAACGTACCGCGCCTTGAAGACAAGGTGGAGAGCCCGGCGGCCGCTTTCACCCGGAAGATCCACATGCCACTGACGATGTTCGCCCCAGGAGGGGGAACTGCGTCAACGTAGGTGCCTGTGGACTTCCAGGAAGCCATCTCTGCATCCATAGCTGCCTGCCACTGAGAGGAGTAGGGACCCTCTACGGCCTCCGCGTAAGAACGCGGAGTCGAGGATGTCTAGTGCATCCGGGTCTCCCTCAGGGGCAAGCAGTACAGACGCGAGATGAGGTGAAGCAGCCGCTAGACACTGTAACTCCTCCTGTCTGTCCTCTAGGACGTCCGTGCCAAGAGCACACTCACCCCCGACGGACGGAGGACAGACAGACGCAGACTCAGCAACAAGACCAGCAGCGTAGTCGAGACGACAGCGAGCAGCAAAGTCAACGAGCTCAGCGACTAGAGCAGACGCAGCAGTGGACTCAAAAGAGGGGTCAGTGACGACAGTAGCAAGCAGACGCGTGACAGTAGGACTGGCAGCGCGAAGAGAGTCCGACTTAGGGTCGGCAAGCGCAGGAAGAGAGGACTCAGGAGGCGAAGGCAAAGGGGCACGCAGAGGAGCAGTGGACGGACGCAGAGACATCCGGTGCGTGCCAGGGACAGGAGGAGGACGCTGACGCGAACCGCGACCACTAGCGCGAGCAGCACGAACAGGCGACGCGGGACGAGACGCAGGCTCACGACGCTCAGCAAGACCTCCAGTAGGACCAGAGTAAGGAGAGGGAGCAGGCAGAGGAGAGGAAGGCTCCAACAGTGACTGCGACTGGACAGGGTGTGGACACTCTACCGAAGGAGAAAGACCAAGAACCTGTCTGTAGGAGCGGAACGAAGTACGGCCGAGGCCGCGCGGCAGCTCCAGACTCAGCAAGGACAGCACCAGCACCCTCAGCGACAGCACCAGCGCCACCCACACCTCGAGCGGCAGGACCAACAGCAGTAGGCTCAGCACCAACGCCCTCAGTACCCTCCAGCTCCAGGAGGACCCGCAGGTCCAGCAGCTCCGGGACCGGCAGCACCCACACCCTCGACGGTCGAAGAAGCTCCAGCTCCAGCTCCAGCAGCACCTCCAGACTCAGCAGCACGCCTCCAGCGGCGAGCGTACCACTCGCGCAGCTCCTGTGGAGAGAGGGGCTCCCGGCGAGACGCAGCAGCAGGAGAAACCCCAGGCTCAGCAGCTCCAGACGCAGCAGGGACAGCACCAGCGCCCTCAGAGACAGCACCAGCGCCACCCACACCTCCAGCGGCAGGACCAACAGCAGCAGGCTCAGCACCAACGCCCTCAGCAGCTCCAGCTCCAGGAGGACCCGCAGGTCCAGTAGCTCCGGGACCGGCAGCACCCGCACCCTCGACGGTCGAAGAAGCTCCAGCTCCAGCTCCAGCAGCACCTCCAGACTCAGCAGCACGCCTCCAGCGGCGAGCGAAACCACTCGCGCAGCTCCTGTGGAGAGAGGGGCTCCCGGCAAGACGCAGCAGCAGGAGAAAACCCAGGCTCAGCAGCTCCAGACGCAGCACCCCCAGGCTCAGCAGCTCCTGACCCAGCACCCCCAGACCCATCACCTCCAGGCAGAGCACCCCCCTGCTCAGCACCTCCAGGCTCCGCACTCTCCGCAGTAGCACCCGCAGGCCCAGTACCCCCAGCAGTAGCACCCCCAGGCTTTGCACCCCCGGGCACAGCACCCCCAGAGTCAGCACCCCCAGGCTCAGCACCCGCAGCAGCACCAGAGTCACCTGTAACCTCGACCGGGTCAACGGCGTCTACCTGGGACACACCTGAGGGGGCAGGAACCTGAGGGGGGAGGGGGTCTACCGGGGGGGGAACTGGTACAAGGAAGTCCGGGGGAGGGGGGAGGGAAGGAGTGCGGTAGGGGAAGAGACGGTAGAAGGGGACTGACTCGTCGAACGTGACGTCCTGGGAGGACAGAACACGACGAGAGGAGGGGTGGTAAAACTGCCACCCTGAGGCGTCAGTGGGGAAGCCAAGGAAGACACAGGGAGCAGCACGAGGGGACAGCTTGTCCGCAGACAAGTCGCGGACAAACGCCCGAGATCCCCAGACACGGAACACAGACGCATCGCCAACCTTCCCTGTCCACAGCAAGGCTGGGGACATCGCAGGCCGAGAGACCCGGGGGTGAAGGTTGAGCTGATGCGCCGCGTACCTCACCGCAAACGGCCACAGAAAATGGGGGGCAGCCGCATGCATCATGGACGTACGAGCGACATCCATGACCATGCCAATGCGGCGCTCAGCAATCCCATTTTGCTGTGGTGAGTCCGGAAGCGTGAAGGACTGGCGGATGCCTCGCGCACGACAGTAGGCACGCAGAAGGCCAGAGGAGAACTCTCCGCCTCTGTCCGAGTGCAGACGCAGAACAGGAAAGTCCGAGCCGAAGCTCTTCCTGAGCCGGAGACGAGCCTCGCGGATCCAGTCGATCAGCACCTCAGTGACCTCACCCTTGCTGCGCAAGGGGAGGACTGTGGTGTAACGCGAGTAGTCGTCAACCACCAACAGGAAGTAGCGCTCGTAATCCTGCCCACGGACGGGGGCTGGGCCCCACACATCCATGTGAAGCGTCTGCAGGGGAGCCTCTGTCGGGGGGAAGTGGGAGGAGTGAGGAGTAGCCCGGAGGCGACCCTCGACACAGGGGACACAGGAAGGTCCTGGCCCGGAGGGGAGAGGAGGGAGAGACTGGGGAAGACCAGAGACAAGGACACGGGAAGCCATGCTCCGAAGACGCGGGCAAGGAGGGGTGGCCAAGACGGTGGTGCCACAGGAGAGTCTCGTGAGACAGGAGGCGACAAGTACAGGGGGCAGACTCAGGACTAGACCTGGACGCAGCAGCAAACACCTGACCCTGACGCTGCTACCTGACCGGACGCGGGGACAGGAGGAGACTCAGTGGTCAGGGTGTAGAGGCTCGACCCCGGCCGACGCGAGAACGTGGCCAGGTGCCGGCCTGTGCGTGCGTCCGTGCAGTGGGTCACCCGCTGACTCGCAGGAGTGAACTGGTGAACCCCCGCATCCTGTAGGTCTGCACCACTCACCAAGTTCGTCGAGAACGAGGGGAGGTACAGGCCAGACAGGGTGCCCGAGGGGGCAGCCGGACACGGGAGGACAGTGGAGAAGTGAGCGAGGACAGGACCCCCAGAGGGGTCAGCCAGGGAGACTGCAACCGGCCGACCAAGCGGCGTGAGTGTGGTGCGGTCCCGAAAGAAGGAGCGAGAAGCCCCAGAGTCAAGTGTAAAGGTGAGGGAGGCCGAAGCCAACGCGGTACCTGAGAGCGCAGCCTCACCCGCACCTGAGGAAGCAGACTCACTAGCACCTAGAGCAGCAGCCGCACCTGTACCTGGAGCAGGAGACTCACTAGCACCCAGAGCAGCAGCCTCACCAGTAGCTAGAGCAGCAGGTCCTATACCTGGGTCAGGCGGGACGCACAGGTGACCTGCACGGTCAGCACTAGTAGGCAATGCATACATGGCAGTGAGAATAGCATCATAGTCAAGAGCATATATATCTACCCTCTGCCTAAGCAACTCCACCCAGTCGGGAAGCTCAGCCTCGTCGCCAAACACGGTACGCCAGGCGTCGCTCAGACGGGCGAAGCAGCGGGACGGTGTATGACTACGTGTCCCACAAGGCTGACCAGTCCGAGTACCAGTGCGAATCACGTAAGAGCAGCGAACAGCACTAAGAGACCCTCCACTCTGAGCGTACCACTCACGAAGCTGGCGAGGCGTGAGAGACACGCGAGAGGGTCGCGGGAGCTGCATCTGGCCGCCACCACGAGTAGAAGCAGCAGGAGTGGTAGTAGGAGTAGCGTCGCCACCCCTACAGCCCCAACCAGCGTACCACTCACGCAGCTGCTGCGGCGTGAGGGACTCACGCCGGCGTCGCTAGGGGCTGCATTTGGCTCCGCAAGTAGAAGCAGGAGCAGGACTAGCAGCAGGGAGGCAGGCAGCCAAGGCAAGCCAAAAGGCAGGCAGGCAGGCAAGCAGGCGACGCGCAGCGTGCTAGCAGGGCAAGAGCTCACCAGTGGTGGGAAGAGTAGGTTCGGCGACTCAGCGGCTCGGCAGCTCGGCGGGCTCGGCGGCTCGGGCGACTCGGGCGGCTCGGCGGCAAGGCGGCTCAGCAGCAACTGCAGCTCAGTAGCTCGGTGACTCGGCGGCTCGGCGGCAGGGCGGCTCGGCAGCAACTGCAGCTCAGCAGCTCAGCGACCCGGCGGCTCGGCGGCAGGGCGGCGGCTGTGGGGCGGCTCGGCTGCTGCAGTGGGAGATGAAGGAGGAGGAGAAGCAGGGAGGCCACACACCTGCCACCGCAAGCGGCCCCCTCAGGTCGCCTCGACAGGCGACGGGAAAAGGGGGGTGGGTGGTGGGGGGCCGGTAGGTGCAGCGGCGGGGCCAGCAGGTGCAGTTGCGGGGCCGGTAGAAGGGGACGGCAGGAGCCGTCAGGAGGGGACGGCGGGGCCGTCAGGAAGGGACGGCGGGGCCGTCACGAAGGGACGGCGGGGCCGTCAGGAGGTGACCGGGCCGCGACGGGGGCAGGCGGCGGGGGCCGCGTAAGGGCCTGGTCGGGGCCCGCGACAGAGCCGTCGGCGGGGCCGGCGTGAAAGCCCGGGGCGGGGCCGGTAGAAGCCGGGGCGGGGGCCGCGCAAGAGCAGGCGGCGGGGCCGCGAAGAGAGCCGAGGCGGGGCCAGGCGTGAGAGCAGGCGGCGGAGCCGCGTAAGGGCCTGGGCGGGGCCGCGACAAAGCCGTCGGCGGGGCCGCGTGAAAAGCCGGGGCGGGGCCGCGTAGAAGCCGGGGCGGGGCCGCGCGAAGCCGGGGCGTGGGCCGCGTAGAAGCGGGGCGGGGCCGCGTAGAAGCCGGGGCGGGGGCGCGTAGAAGCCGGGGCGGGGCCGCGTAGAAGCCGGCGGGGCCCGCGCAGAGAGCAGGCGGGCGGGGCCGCGAAGGAGCCGGGGGGCGGGGCCGCGTGAGAGCAGGGCGGCGGGGGCCGGCGACAGAGAGGGCGGCGGGGCCGCGTCAGTGAAGGCGGCGGGGCCGCAGGGGAAATGGGCGACCCGAGGGGTCGCTAAAAAAACAGATCGCGCCTCGGGGGGCGCTTTGGTGGGCCCAAAAAATCGGTCCAGTAGAAGGACCCGCTCTATACCATGTGAGAATAAGCGAACAGGAATGAATGAAACTAGCAGTGAAAATGAGTACAAGTAGGAAACCCTAGAATTGTGTACCCCCTATAGGCTAACCCACTGTAGCCTACACAAGCATAACATATATAATGTTTGACACCTTGTTCCTTTGTATTTTGCACACGCTAGGCCCTTGTTCTTGCTATTTGCACACGCTATGCCTTGTTCTTTTTAATTTGCTACACGCTAGGCCCTTGTTCTTGCAATTTTGCACATGCTTAGACCTTGTTCTTTTTATTTTGCACACGCTAGGCCCTTGCTCTTGCTATTTCGCGAACACTAGGCCCTCATTCTTGATTTTTTTGCACACGGTAAGGCCCTTGCTCTTGCTATTTTGCACTCGCTAGGTCCCTTGTTCTTGCAATTTTGCACACGCTATGCCTTGTTCTTGAGTTTGCCACACGCTAGGGGCCCTTGTTCTTTTTATTTTGCACACGCTTAGGCCCTTGTTCTTTTTATTTTGCACACGCTATGCCCTTATTCTTATTTTTTGCACACGCTAGGCCCTTGTTCTTGATCTTTTGCACAGCCAGTGCCCTTGTCTCTTGCTATTTTGCACTCGCTATGCACCTTGTTCTTGCAATTTTGCATACCTAGGCCCTTGTTCTTGCAATTTTGCACACGCTAGGCCCTTGTTCTTTTATTTTGCACACGCTAGGCCTTGGTTGTTTTATTTTGCACACGCTATGCCCTTGTTCTTTTTATTTGCACACGCTATGCCCTTGTTCTTTTTATTTTGCACACGCTAGGCCCTTGTTCTTGCAATTTTGCACATGCTAGACCCATGTTCTTTTTATTTTGCACACGCTAGGCCCTTGTTCTTGCAATTTTGCACATGCTAGACCCATGTTCTTTTTATTTTGCACACGCTATGCCCTTGTTCTTTTTATTTTGCACACGCTAGGCCCTTGTTCTTTTTATTTTGCACACGCTAGGCCCTTTATCTTGCAATTTTGCACATTCTAGACCCTTGTTCTTTTTAATTTTGCACACGCTAGCCCTTGTTCTTGCAATTTCACGAACACATAGTAGCCCTTGTTCTTGATTTTTTTTTGCACACGCTAGGGCCTTGCTGTTGCTACTTTGCAATCTCTATGCCCCTGTTATTGCAATTTTGCACGCGCTAGGCCCTTGTTCTTGCAATTTTGCACACGCTAGTGCCTTGTTCTTTTATTTTGCACACGCTAGGTGGCCTTGTTCTTTGAATTGCACACGCTATGCCCTTGTCTGTCTATTTTGCACACGCTATGCCCTTGTTCTTTTTTTTTTGCACACGCTAGCCCTTGTTCTTGCAATTTTGCACATGCTAGACCCTTGTTCTTTTTATTTTGCACACGCTAGGCCCTTGTTCTTGCTATTTCGCGACGCTAGGCCCTTTGTTCTTGATTTTTTGCACACGCTAAAGGCCCTTGTTCTTGCAATTTTGCACCCGCTAGGCCCTTGTTCTTGCAATTTTGCACACGCTAGGGCCCTTGCTCGTTTTATTTTGCACACGCTAGGCCCTTGTTCTTTTATTTTGCACACTGCTAGGCCCTTGTTTTCTTGATTTTTTGCACACGCTAGGCCCTTGCTCTTGCTATTTTGCACTCGCTATCCTCTTGTTCTTGCAATTT